TTCCAGTCCTGTATCTGACAATGTTTCTCTGCTATTCATAGAGTTTTCAGTGACTAGCGATTCGGAAGTAGTTTGTCACTCTTTCTTTCTAGTCTGTCTTTGTTTTAAAGCTCATCTGAAATCTGTCCACCATGGGTGACCCTGCTGGTTATTTAAAATACCGGTGGCATAGCCCTCAGAATCACCGCAATTCAAACCACCACAGCACGACAGACAGACAAGTGGTGGTTGTGTGGTTGCTGTTAAATAGGAATATCTTTGTGCTAGGGCCCTTAAGTCTGGCTCAAAGGCAGGATTTCTGTCCTTGGATCTCAATCAAGAGGCAGAAGCGCAGCAGGGGCTACTGGGTTGTAGTGAGACGCTTTGAGCTGGGCTTGTGGGTCTCTAAGTTGGTCCAACCCGCCTCTAAGCCATGATTTAAATGGTTAGGCTAGGAAGGCGCTCTTGCTTCCAGGGTACGTAAGACAGCCTGGCCAGCCCCTGCAGTCTCTTCCAGCTAGGCAGCGTCTCCCCATCGCCCTGGTCTCCAGGGTGGAAGCAGGTCTGACCTCCGCTTCATAGGAATCAGCCTTGGGCTGATTTTTAAATTTGATTCTCTTTCCCCCTTGTGAAGCCAGGGGAAGTCAGACACAGCTGCTACATGGTTTTTGCACTGTGGTATTTTCAGTTGCCTCATATGCAAGTGAAAGTTGGAACAATGAATAAGGAAGAATTGATGCAATTGAATTAAGGTGTTCGAGAAGAATATTAAAAGTATCATTGACTGAGGCTCAGGACTATATATAGTCTTAGGGGACACCATGGTCAATTGGCATGACATGGTCTACAAAGACAATGTTCTACATCCTGCTTGGGCGAATAACATCTGGGATCTTGAAAGCTCATGAGTAGCCGTCCTAAGATGCAGCTATGGTCTCTCCATGTGCAGAAGAAAGAGTGATAAGAACTGAAGAGGCTTGGAATTAATTAGTCCAATGGACTAATGGACCATTGAACATCAGTCTCCATGACTCTGAGACCAGAAGAACTAGTCAGTGCCTGGCTAGCACTACTACCAACTGCCCTGAAAGGGAGCACATTAGAGGGCCCTGAATTGAGTGGGAGAAAATGTTGAAAAAACCCTCAAAATTATTTAATAAAATAAAATTAAAAGACCAAGGTTTACTGGTCAGAAAGAGACGGGGGAAACCTGAGACTATGACTCTCCACCGTCCTTCAGGTCTGGAAAGCAACTCACCCTCTTGGCCCAATATTCAGTCAAGCAGTATATTCACCATGGAATGGTCAATCATTCAAAATTACAAGAGCAACAGTTTCCTAAGGACAAAGCTGAGAAGGGCTAGGAAGGTGGGTGGAATGCAAATAGGAGCCACAGGGAGGAAGCAGGATAATTGCTGTTGCATGGAGGGGATTGTAATCATTGAGATGAAACAAAGTGTATGATTGGTGGAATATAAAACTGATGATCTTGTCTGTAAACTGCCACTCAGTTCACAATAAAAAGGTTTTTAAAAAAGTACCATTGATTGCCAGAAGAACAAACAAATCTGTGTTGGAAGAAGTACAGTCAGAATGCGCCTTAGAAGCCAGGAAGGTGAGACGTCTCTCATACTTCAGACATATTACTAGGAGGGACCAGTCCCTGGAGGAAGACATAGTGCTTGGTAAAGCAGAGGGTCAGCAAAAAAGAGGAAGAGTTTCAATGGCTGGATTGTCATAGTGGCAGCAGCAATGGACTCAAGTGTAACAAAGACTGTAAGGTTGGCTCAGGACTGGGTAGTGTTTCATTCTGTTGTGCACAGGGTTGCTATGAGTCAGAACCAATTTAACAGCACCTAACAACAATGCTTATTTTCAAATTTGTCTAAAGATTAAATGAGATAATATATGAGAATAGTCCAACAGGGTTGTTTTACTTACTCATTTTTCAAAACTCAGCTCTAAAGACTTCCTATAAGAAGCTGAACCAGCTTCCCTCCTTTTCCCAGCGTATTATGACCTGTTCCCTCTTTGGAATAGCACTTTGATCTATGCCTCACTCAGAGATACCTTACCTATCACGGGCTGGCCTGCAGTATGTTATGTATCAACTTTCTCCTCCACTAGATTTGGGGCTTCCTGAGGGCAAGACCTTGGTTCCTGCTTCCCTGTATTCCCCACAGTATCATAATACCTGTACGTAGTAGGTGTTATGGAATTAAATGTGACATTTGTAATTTATTGTCTTGTCTTTTTGGACTGTGTATATGTGAGCCTGTATTGTATACTTTGGAAGATAAGAATCATGTCCAAAAGCATGTGTTGTAATACTGGTGTAATGGAAAGAATACAGGTTGACTTTAGACACACTTAGAGACCTGGGTTCAAACCCTGTGATCTTGAGCAGACTGACTTTAATCTTCTTGAGTAATTGTTATCTTGTCTAAAGTGAGGGTTTTAATACTAACCCCAGATGATTGCTGGTATTAAATGTGATAATATATGTAAGGCATAATATATGTTCATGCTTCCTTTGAACATTAGCTCCTTTCCTCTAAACTGTTTCTCTTTATAATACACAGTGCTTGGCACATAGTAGGTGCTTCTGTTTGTTTAAGGTTGGTGGTTGACAAAAGCAGTGATGTGAAGGGTTTGTTTTTAAAGATCAGAGGCTGTGGGGAGAGGTGAATGGGGTAACTAGCCCTCCTTCCCATCTTGCTTACCTTCGCCAGGTGTATAATGAGTTCATTCTACCCTCGGAGCGAGACGGATTCCTGAGCCGCATTCGGGAGATTATTCAGCGAGTGGAGACCCTGCTGAGGAGAGATACAGGCCCCGTGGAGGTGGTTGAGGACACCCTGGGCACCCAGGTCAGACCCCTCTGGACACCTCTAGGGGTAATGGCCTCTGCTCTGGAGCTGCCTCTCTGCCCTCTGTATCACCTATGGTTTAGCTCCTCTTCATCTCGGGGTTCATAAGCTTTTTTGGGTCATGGGCCCCATTTTAGAATCTGATGATAACCATGGACCCTTGTTCTAGAAGAATGCATGTTCAGTACATGCTCTTCTTTTAACTTTATTTGGAAATAATTTCAGATTATAGAAAAATGGCAAAAAAATATACAAAGAACACATAGATACACCCATTAATATTTTACATTAGTTTATATTTTACCACATGAGTTTTCTCTCTCTCCTCTCTGCATATTATGTATGTATGCATATTTTTTCTAAACCAGTTGAGAATAAGTTGTAGCCCATCATGCCCCTTTATCTCTAAATATTTCAGCACATACATGTATGAATGCCCTGAAACTGCCCCACAGACTCCTAGAGGTTCATGGGTCCTAGCTGAAGAACTCCAGCTGGAAAGCTCCCATCCAAGACTTGCTAGCTCTTCCGCACTGTGACTGTGGGCCTTTTCCCTCCCTCAGGAGCCAGCACCACTGCCTGCCCTCCCAGGCCCCCTTCCAGACCCTGGCAGTGGTATGTATTGAGTTCTGCTCCTGCTCATCAGAGCCCCAGGGATTTTCTGGATTGGCCTGGGAATGGGAGTCTGGAATTTCAGCCTGCCTTCCTCTCCAGCAGAGGCCCAGAGCAGCACCTCCCTGGAGCAGAGGAGTTGGGCAGCCTTCTCTACCTCCCCTTCTTCTCCTGGAACCCCCTTGTCTCCTGGAACTCCCCTTTTCCCAGGTCCCATATTCCCCATCACTTCTCCTCCATATAACCCCAGCCTTTCCCCATTCCCCATAATTTCTTCCCAGGTCTCCTCACATCTCCCTCCTTACCCCCCTAGCTCTCCACTTCAGTTCTTCCCCAGTGCATCCCATTTTCCTCTCCCTCCCTCACAGTTTCCTCAGAGCTCTCCCGCCACAGCCACACTTTCTCCCAGTTGTTCCCAGGTCACTCCTCAGCTCAGTCCCTCCCCTCCCCCACTCTCCCCCACCACAGCAGCCCCTCTCCTCTCTCTGGCTAGTGCCTTCTCTCTGGCTGTGATGACCGTGGCCCAGTCCTTGCTGTCTCCCTCACCTGGTTTCCTTTCCTGCTCTCCTCCAGCCCTTCCTGGCCCCCTGCCCAGCCTTCCTTCTCCTTCCCTTGCTCCTTGTGACCCCGAAAGCCCTTCACCCCTCACAGATGAGATGGAGAGTGAGGTGAGTAGAAAACCAAGAGGGTTGACCAGGGAGGCTCCACCCTAGATGTTCCCCTCATTGACCCATGCTTTGTAGAACTCCTCAAATCCTGCTTGGCCATTCCTGGGGGAAGCCAGACTGGCACCCATCTCTGAAGGTGAGGTTTCTGAACACAACCTTGGCCTGCCCATCACCCCCACCTCATTTCATATCCTACCACTGATTCTCTTCCTCCATGCTTCTCCCACTCTAGAGGGAAAGCCCCAGCTAGTTGGACGCTTCCAAGTGACTTCGTCCAAGGAGCCTGCTGAGCCTCTTCCCCTGCAGCCATCATCCCCAACTCTGTCTGGTTCTCTAAAGCCGCCAAGCCCTCAGCTGACCTCAGAGAGCTCAGACACAGAGGACAGTGCAGGAGGCGGGCCCCAGACCAGGGAGGCTCTGGCTGAGAGTGACCGGGCTGTTGAAGGCCTAAGGGCTGGAGTTGAAGAGGAAGGGGGTGATGGGAAGGAGGCCCGAGGGAGCAGTCCCCTACCCCTGAGCCATCCCAGCCCCGTGTGGATGAACTACTCCTACAGCAGCCTGTGTCTGAGCAGTGAGGACTCAGAGAGCAGTGGGGATGATGAGGATTTCTGGGCGGAGCTACAGAGTCTTCGGCAGAAGTGAGTCTGGGGAGGCTGAAGCAAGAGGCAGACTCGGAGAGTAAAAGGTGTGGCTGGCCTTCTCATGCCCTGACCATCCCCAGGCACTTGTCAGAGGTGGAGGTGCTCCAGATGCTGCAGAAAAAGGAAATTGAGGACTTGTACAGTCGGCTTGGGAAACAGCCCCCGCCAGGCATCGTAGCCCCGGCTGCCATGTTGTCCAGTCGCCAGCGGCGCCTCTCCAAAGGCAGTTTCCCAACCTCCCGCCGCAACAGCCTGCAGCGCTCTGAGGTTCCAGGCCCTGGTGAGACTACAAAGGCCCAGCTTTCCCCAATAAGCTCTCTCTACCAAGCTAGCTTCCTTCCAGGCCCTAGGGTCTGTCTGTCCCTTGCTTTGGGGGGACTAGCCCCCTTCCCACCATGGCTGGCTCTTCCATCATTCGGTGCTCTCCCCCATCCTGCTCCTCCCAGGCATCATGAGAAGGAACTCCCTGAGTGGCAGCAGCACCGGCTCCCAGGAGCAGCGGGCAAGCAAGGGGGTGACATTCGCTGGAGATGTTGGCAGGATGGTGAGGGCAGGCATAAGGGAGGGCGAGCCCAGGGAATGGTAACGGGCAGCAGCCTCACCCTCCTCCCACCCTAGAGGTTTGTTTCTTCAGCACTTTTTCTTTCCCCACCAGTGAATTTGGAACAGAAACCAAGTGTCTCTGCTGGACCAGTACTCACCATGGAGCTTGGGATGGCAAAATCTGCTGCTTCTCTGACCCACACAACTCAGCAAGACCCCAACATTAAGTGGGTAGGGAGGCCAGGGGGCATGGAGAGTGCAGGCCCACTCTGAGTCAGACACCTGGGAACTGTCTGCTGTGTGTAGAAGGCACCAGTTCTGCAGTCTTCTAGCCTCATTCCTGTCACCTTCCCAGGCAGGGGTCAAGCCTGGATGCTTCTAGAAGGCCCACTTTCCCCTGGGAATTCTCACAGGAGACTTAGTGGTGGCCAATAAAAATGCTGGAAACCAAGACTCTGAATTTTATGTCATGCCATAGGAGCTGGGGGTAAAGCTTTGTGGGGTGAGGCAGGGGAGACTTTAGAATGGGCTCTCCTTTCACAATGAGGGGGGCAGGGCAAGAGTTACCCAGCCTCTGGCTGCTTCCCAGCAGTTCATGAGGAAACTACAAGGTCAAGAATCCACTTGACCACACCAAAATGCACTCTAGACTCCACCCTAGGCCTGCATAGGCAGGCCCCAGTAGAGGTAGAGGAATGAAGGCTGCTTGCCCTTTACCACTGTCTCTTTAGTTGTGGGAAAGGCAATAAAGAAAAGATGAAGTAGAGGGAATGGAGGACAAAGAGTGACTGACCTTCCTCCAGCCATGGTTTGGTCTCAAACAGCCTGGTGACCCACCATGATCTCTCCCTTAAATCAGGTGGAAAGATCTCACAGAAAAAGTAATTCTAGTTAAATATTTAAGGCTCCCTGGGGCAATGCCACTGCTGCAGTTCCTGCCTGTGAAGCTTTTCAACATGAACTGCCACGCAGCCCCACAACACTCACTAGGCTCCAGGACAGTGAGTCAGTTTATTGTTCTCAACATGGCTCAACATTCCCACCTCAGGCTCCAACACTGCTAGGCGCTGCCATTTCCCACCCCCTAGGTGTGAAGGGGGTAAACCAGTCAGAGCTGTTAGGAAAAACCAGGGTTGCACACTTGTCAAACAAGGAAACAGACTACAAGAAGGGCTTGGTCACAGCACACAATGAGTATGAGGTGCACAATGTTCCTTTTACGATGACCGAACACATAAGTTCCTGGCTTCTTGAGTTCAGTTATAGTATGAGGTTAATAAGGCCAACAAAACTGTGAGCAGGCTTCATTTTCTACAGGATCATGGAGTTTCATCCATCTTGTAAAGGGACCCCTGGAGGTTGGAGTTGCGTGGTAGCCATCAGGATCAGGGGCCTGACGCTCTAGCCAGTGCTCGGGCTCGGGCAGCTTTCGCCTCGTCTTCTAGCTCATCTAGGAAACGCTCCTGGGATACTGAGTAAAAGGTGTAACCATCTGGAGGTGGGCTCAGGAAATTACTTGATAAGCACATCCCCTTTTCCGACACTTGCTCCGCCCACCCTTATTAATACGTCCCATTCTCCAGATAATTCCAGCCTCCACTGTTTTTAAATCCAGAACCCAACTCCGTTACTATTAATAAACCATATTAGAAGAGTATGCTAGAAATGAAATCTCGTTTGATTTCACATACGATATTAACCCCATTTTACCCAAACATTAAACGCTAAGCCCAATGTTGCTGTTAAAAGTAGATAAAAACGTCACAGTTCGGACTTTTTCTCTCACCCCCACGCTGCTCTCCTACATGCTTTTCCCTATCCCCATATGGAGTCTCCCGGAGTCTACAATACGATCGGATACAAATAGCAAGAACCAGGGCTCCGATGCCCAGGCCAGTCACGATGTTCCGGGTCCGTCGCTGTGGCAGCGTCTTCTGCCACTGAGCGAGTTGCACCTGCTGCATGAATTGCAGCTGCGCGGGAGTCAATTTCTCCCGAGCTGGGTCGATGCGCTGAGCCATCGGGGCCTTTCCACTCTTGGTATCTAGAGGGTCTCCAGAACCGGACGCCGCCATGTTGCCGCTGGGCTACGGGGCTCGCTGGGAATATTAGCCCTTTGGCCCCGCAGGGGACGCTGGGGGCTGTAGTCTGCGTTTCCTTTCTCCTCCGCGGCTTTAGGGGGAGGGGCGACGAGAGGCGGCTTCGTGATTGGCTGATGCCTTCCGCGGCCGTTGGGGGCGTGGGGGGGGGCGGAAATGGGAAAGGCTGGAGAGAGCTTGAGTCTGTGAGGGGAAATTGGGTTTTCCTCAGACTTGTGGCGGAGGACAGGCACACTAGAAGGGGACGAGGAAACCAAGCTGTGGCAGAAGACTGGAGAGAAGCTAAGGGAGCCGACTGTTAATCCACTGAACAGTCCAGGTGGCCAAAGGACATTTGAAAATGGATGGACCTCTGAGGCCCAGATTGGTCTCCCTCAGTGACTTTCAGTTTGGAGCTGTTACTACAGAGACCATCGAAGACGCTCTGCTCCACTTGGCCCAGCAGAATGAGCAAGCGGTGCAGGAGGCTGCGGGCCGGATGGGCAGCTTCAGGGAGACCCGGATCGTGGGTGTGGATGCGGGACCTGGGAGCCAGGCTCATGGGGACTGGGGCATCTGCCTTTCAACACCAACCTTGAGATTCTCTTTACTTCATTCACTCATATAATTTTTGTTAGTGCTTACTATACACCAGGAGCTGGGGGTATACTGGGCAAGATACAGCAACACTTTACCCTTGATTTCTTCAATATCAAGTTAGAGTAGTAATTATTGGCACCACCTGAGCTAGAAAGAGGGCCCAAAGTCCTTGCTTTCAAAGTATGTGCATTCTTGCGGGGGATACCAGGGCAAATAAGGGATCCTGGTATGGCGCTGTGGGATGAAGCCCTGAACCTCAAGGTCGGCCGTTCAAACCCACTAGCCGCTCTTCGGAAACCCTATACAAGGTCGTTATGAGTCGGAACCGACTCGATGACACTTAACAACAACGTCAAAAAAAGAGTCCTAGTGTGGTGCTGTAGGATAAGCCTGGGATTGCCAACCAGAAGGTCAGTGGTTCAAACCCACCAGCTGCTCCTCGGAAACCCTATACAGGATCCCACTCAACAGCATTTAACAGCAAAGGACAAATACGCACATAACTAAGTACAAGTATGGTGGTCGTGGTGGTGATGTGTCGTGGACTCCGTTCCAACTCATACCGACCCTGTACAGGGTTTCCGAGGCTGTATCTTTACAGGAGCAGAAAGCCTCATCTTTCTTCCACGGAACAGCTGGTGGTTTCAAACTGCTGACTATGAGGTTCGCAGCCTGATTCGTAACCACTGCTACCAGAACTCCTTAGGTACAAGTATAGTGAGATATAAACAATACGTGTTGCTGTAGGATCAGCACTGGACTGCAAGCCACAAGGTAGACAGTTCAAACCCACCAGCTGCTGCTCAGAACCCTAATCAAGGTCCTATGAGTTGGAACCAACTGGATGGCACTTAACACCAAACAACAATACAAGCATAAGAGAGAAAATAAGCGTTTAGGGAGATTAAAAGAATGATGGTACCAGAGGCGAGGTGGTACCAGACCATGGAAGCCACTCCAACTCATGGAGACCCCAATTCATGGTGGTCCCATGTGTCATGGTAGAATTCTGCTCCACAATGTTTTCAATGGTTGATTTTTGGGATTTTGATGGCCAGATCTTTCTTCTAAGAAACCTCTGGGTAGACTCAAACTTGCACCCTTTCAGTTAGCAACCAAGCATGTTAACCAATTAATGGAGTCCTCCAGGAATGGTGTTTTTGAGGTACACCTTGAAAGAGAGATGACAATTTTGATTGGTGAAGGTAGAATGGGGTGGGGAGGCTCAACAAATCAAAAGGCCAACAATACTGTGACTAACCAAAACCGAGTTGTTAAGTACCGTGGAGTCTATTGCGACTCATAGTGACCCTGCACAGAGTTTCTGAGGCTGTAAATCTTTACAGGAGCAGAACCCTTCATCTTTCTCCTGCGGAGCGACTGGTAGTTTCGAACCGCTGACCTTAAGGTTCACAGCCTGATTTGTAACAACTACTCTACCAGAGCTCCTTAACCAAAATGGAGCAGCAGGAGTAAAGCTATACAGATAGGGAAGCTTAGGGTAAGTGTGGGTGCAGGGAAGTCTAGGTTGGCCAGACTGTGTTGAAATTAAGACCAGGCACTGTAGGGTAAGCACTGGACTGGAAACCACAAAGTTGGCAGTTCAAACCTAAGAGCTGCTCCTTGGAAACCCTATATGGGTCACTATGAGTTGGAACTGACTCGAAGATACACAACAACAACAAAGTAGTTTGGGGGTATTTCCTGTGGACGTTGAATGTAAGAGATTTATACTTGGTTTAGTAGGGAAACAAGAAGGCACTGAAGGCTTTAAAATATGAATGTAACCTTTGCTTCAAAGTGATTTTGGCAGTGATGTAAAAGATGGATTAAACAAGAGAGAAAGGGAAGTAGGTCGACCCGTGACGTCTGTGTCAGTAGTGTAGGTGCTAGGTGCTGGGACAGAGGGAATGACAAGAGAAGATGGCTTTTAAAAATTTCAAAGGTAAAAATCTACAGCTCACAATGGATGAATTTAAAAGTGAAGGCAAATCTATGTCAAAGGGTTAAACAGAAATTTGGAGTATAATGATGTCATTAGCAGAAATATAACACACACATTAAACAAAACACACACAAACTTGATTTTCTTTGAAAAGATAGCAGTTTTGGGTTTGGAGCTACTGAGTTTAAGGTACTGTCAGAACTTGTAGAGAAAAGTTACTAGCAGGCTAAAAGTAGGTCAGAAGAGAGGTAGAGTAGAGGTTTGGGACTCATCACCATAATGATTGTTGAAACTGTGGCAGAGAAGGAGTTCCTAGAGGGAGGAGAGAGAAGCAAGTTAAGAACAGTTTCTTGGGAAACATTTTGTGTTCAAGGAATTGGATCAGGAAGAAGTGGTGAAGAAAATAGTGGTTGGAGAGAGAGAAACAGAACCAAGAAACCTTTGGAAGAAGAGAATTTAAAGGATGCTGGTCAGCAGTTAGTTTCAAATGCTTCAAGGACATTAACAGAAATGAGGCCGGACTATTTAACAATTAGGACATATTTACTGACCTTTGGGATAATTTCGGCAAACTGAAAAAGTTAGTGTAGAAAATTAGTAAATGATGAAGAGGTAGCAAGAAGTGAAAACTCAGCTTTCAAGAAATTGAACAGTGAAGGGAAGGAAAAAGATGGAGGGCAAACTGAAGAAGGTAGAGGGAAGAGCCTTTATCTTCACTTTTTATTGTGGTTTGAGTGAAAATATACAGAACAAATTGGTTTTTTTTTGGGGGGGGGTGTCTTTTAGTTAATAGATAAGAGTGATTTTGTAAGCAGAAGAGGTGGAGCTAGTAGCCAGAAAGAGGTGTAACCATCAATTTCACCTAACCCAAACTCAATTTTTTTGGCAAATTAAAGTGGAAAATAGAAACATAATCCAGATAATTCAGGCCAAAACCAAACCCAAACCAAATAACTACAAGTGCATATAAAGAACAAAAAGAAATAAAGTCTGAACTCTAGCAAATAAAAGGATTGGCTAATAACATAATTATGTCATCTAAGGTATTTTACTGAATTGCTCAAACATTGTCTTCTGTATTGGGCATTGCTAACAGAGTTGTGATAATGTCTGTAACAAGTTTTGTACATATCTAAGTGTAATTTGGTTGAATAGATTGTTAAACTGGTACTAGCTTAACTTTTTTTTCTCCTAAGAATGATTTTTTCTGAAGACATATGGTAATTTAGACATAATTCTCCACTGACCAATGCAAAAGTTTCTTGATTTGTAGGAGCTTTTCTTTGTTGAGAACCAACATTTACTCTTGTTTCTACCCTCTAATGATATTGAAAGCTAAATAGAATTCTATCTGGGCTGTTCCTTCAAAGAGAAACAGAGGCAGCCTAAAATCTTGCCAAGATATCTTGCCTTCCCACTTTCCCAATGATTTTTCCTGTAAAAATTGGGCATATGTCCCCTTATTTCAGGGATGTTTCTTCAAACCAAGCCACTCCACAGTAACAAACTTGCACCTGGGGAGAGGCTCAGCCACTACAAATTTACCCCACAAACTGGTGGTGGAGGGATGGTATCCAGCTGTAAGGTGAATCCTGTTTGTAAAGCAATGGGAGTTCTCCAAAGGGTGGTTACTAAACAAACAGTGTCATAAAGAATATTGAAGCTCCAGGAGGGACCGTTCTGTTCTTGCCAACATTCCACTGAAAACAGATTTAGGGGTTAGGTTTTTCATCCATCCAAGAAATCTCCCTTGGACCTTAGGGCTCCCAGCATGGTGTAGAGGCCATCTAGACCAGCAGGGTATGTTTGCATGTAACTGGCCAAGCCTTTTATCATCTGAGACCCACAGGAAGGCTCCAGGGTCACTGACTGAGCTTGGTTAGCCCTTGTCTTTGGCACTCATTCAGCCTTCTTTTTTGTGCCTCTGATCTGCCTATTGGCAGCACAGGGGACTAAGCTCAGCTTTGGTTGTTTTAGTCTCATCTTTCTCACCTCCTGACCCTCTTCCCTTGACCCATCATGGCTTTTACACAATGCCAAGAGTGGTTTTGGTTGCATCTTGTGAATTAGGCTCTTCTTTCCTGTTTTGGCAGAGTTTGTTTTTCTCCTGTCTGAACAATGGTGTCTGGAGAAATCTGTGAGCTACCAGGCTGTAGAAATCCTAGAAAGGTAAAGCCTAAGCATAGGTCTTTGTAAGTGGTATCTCTCAGAATGACTAATGTACTAAAATCTTTAGGAAAGTCCCAATTACCCCTTGACCAAAGACCTGCTTTTGCATCCTACTGTTTTCACTTGCAAATTCAATTTCTTAGCCAGCAGTTAATGTTAGAGAAGACCTAGCAGAGTTTGAAGCCCAGACTGTGTGAGTGTGGACTGTTTACTCTCCCTTTCTATTCCTTATAGGTTTATGATTAAGCAGGCAGAGAACATCTACAGGCAGGCCACACTCCAGCTGAGAGAGAGTGAGAAGGCAGAGCCTCAGAACTGGAGGGCTCTGAAGGAGCAGCTTTTCAACAAGTTCATCCTGCGTCTTGTGTCTTGCGTTCAGCTGGCTAGCAAACTTTCCTTCCACTATAAGGTAAGGAGCTGGAGAGGCTCATGGGAGAAACCAGTTCTGTCCAGAGGTGGCTGTGAGAAATCTACTCCTAGGATAGGCTAGGTGATTTTATTCATGTGAAAATTCCAGAGTCAATTATGCTTCCTAAACACACGCACGCGCGCACACACACCAGCCACACAGAAGCACTTAATAGCCTGAAGTTCTGTTCCCAAAGTATAATTGCTGGACAAATGCCATCATTCATACAGGTCACCTTTCCTCCCCTTGGAACTCAAGGACAGTTTACATAAGGTACCTAAATTGCCAACATACTTATCAGCACTAAAGTTGAACTGTTACATTTATAAAGAATAAAATGTTCCAACATTACTGCCTGTTCTGTACAGTAAAATATCATTCATTCAACAAATATTTATTATCTTCTGTGATCAGATGTTGTACTAGATGCCATGGCTGCTAACAGTAAAAATACTGTCTGTGCTCTCAGTGAACTGATTATCCAATGGAAGACACTGAAGAAGAGTGTAAATACTGAGGGCTATGTACATACAGTGTGTGCCTCATCAGCCTTGGAGAATCAAGGAAGGGTTTTTAGAGAAAATGACTTTTTGAAGTAGAGGATGGATGAATCCTAAGGGAACGAGAGGGATGGGAGGAAACGGAGGAAGACCCAAGGATAGTTAACAAGCATGTAGAGACTGGGAGGCATAGTGGATGTAGGGGAACTGCAATTGATACTTTATGATGAGCTGAGTGTCAGGGAATTACCTCGCAAGAATGAATACTGGAGATGACAGCTGGTCTGGATTATGAAAGGTTGTGTATACTGTGCCAAGACGTATGACTTTTTTTGTGTTTCTTTGCTCAGATAATCAGCAACATTACAGTCCTGAATTTCCTTCAGGCTCTAGGGTATCAACACACTAAAGAAGAACTGCTGGAGTCGGAGCTGGATGTTTTGAAGTCCTTGAACTTCCAAATCAATCTGCCCACTCCTCTGACATATGTGGAGATGCTTCTAGAGGTTTTAGGTACATCAGTAAATGTGTCAGGAGATATGGGTTGGAATCTTCCAAAGATGACAATAAAATATGTGCCCTGGGGTTTGGTGGCAGTGGGCAGAACCTGCCAGTGAGGAAGAGCAGGAAGCCTGATTATTTCTTGGTGGCTGAGAAAGGTGTTACCTCTGGCACTTGTCACGGAAGGAGGCTGCAGTCAGAGCAGCTGGCTTCTACCTGGAATCAGTAGCTAACTCCCTTAGTGCAGGATGAAAGATTTGATTTTGTCAAGAAACAGGATTGTTGTTAAGTGCTGCTGAATCGGTTTCAACTCATACTATCAGAGAACAAATATAATTTAGATTGTTTCTCTACCTCTTCTTTTGTCCTTTAAAATTGGACTCCAGCCCTACAGGTTTCTTATAGTAGAATACAGTAATCAGGAAGTACAGTAACAGCTCAATAGCTTTATGTCACATGACAACTGTGGTTATGATCACAGAAGACTCACTGCTCCTTTACCAAACTCACCAGCCACTCCTAAGAAACCCTATACAAGAGCTCTGTGTGTTGGAACCGATTCAACGGCACTTAACAACAAAAACAATAAACCATGCTTATACTCCATCTATGGAGTCCTGGGGTGGCACTGGGGGTTAATGGGCCAGACTGCAAAGCCATTTGAACTGCAAGGTCGGTCCTTGGAAACCCTATACAGGGTTGCTATGGGTCAGAATTGACTCAACGGCACTTAACAACATCCTCCATCTAGGATACAATGGTTGTTTGGTCCCAGCCACACAGCTTCATGCAACCTGCCTGACTCTTCTTGACCTAGTCTATCTTCTGCACGAACCCATATATGAGAGCCTGCTGAGAGCTTCAATTGAGAACTCCATACCCAGTAAATTGCAAGGGTAAGACAATTCCTATGGGGTAGGTTCCTTCCAGAAACACAAAGTGGTGGAAAAGAATTTGGGGAGTAGGATTAACCTGTCAAGTCCTCAGATAACCTACACAGGTTACCTGGTTCATTAATTTCCAATGTGCTGCTTGGACATAAATGACTAAGCCCTATCAGCAAACCCCTAAAGGCTTTTACTTTTAAATTTAAATTACTTCAAGTAATTAACATACATTCTTTCCTAGTTCTTCCTTCATAGCTGCTTGTGACTTGCCATTACTGGATTGCTTTTATAGCCACTTTCAGGGAGAAAATAAACCACAGGGTTGCAACTTGGACAAAAGTGTTTGATTACTGTAGTCAGACTGGTAAAAATTCTCAGAACTACATTTGTTAGGGAGATGGATAGAACAACAAAAGGCCTGTAAACCGTTCAGACAGGAGGGTCATGTTTTATTCCCAGTTGAGTTGTAAGAGGGTAGAGGCATCGGTCAGCTAGTCACTACTTGACCATTTCCTTCCATGTCTAAAAAATCCAAGATGACCAACATAAACAATTCATAGTTGAAGTTCCATGACCCTAGAATTTGGAAGATCAAGTCTCATGTAACCCCTAAATTAATATGGTTTTAATCATTCAGGGAAAAGTTTATTTCAGTGAAGGAAGACTTTATGCTCTTGGCAGTAGGAATCATTGCATCAAGTGCTTTCATCCAAAACCATGAATGCTGGAAGCAGGTACGCACCACTGAGCAGGACCAGCGTGGCCAGAATTCATTTAATACAAGACAATCTACAAAAGATAAGTGCCAAGACCTATGATGAGTGTGAACGAGCAGGATTTGGGAGGGGAAAAACTAGGGTAGAACTGAAAGATTTTCTCATTTTCCTCTTATGAAGTTAAATTACAAATGGGGACCCGAGTTCACCTTGTTTATTTCCCCTTTGATGATGACTGTTATGTTACAGTCTGGTAAGTATGGTGGTGGTGGTGATGTGCCAGGGAGTCAGTTCCAACTCATAGCGACCCTGTACAGGATTTCTGAGGCTGCAAATCTTTATGGGAACAGAAAGCCTCATCTTTCTCCTGTGGATCCGCTGGTAGTTGTGAACTGCTGATCTTGAGATTAGCAGCCCGACCCATAACCTTTATGCTACCAGACAGAGCTCCTTCTAATAAGTATATCCTCCCTAAATAAAGAAAATGTCAGGGCCCAGATACCCTTCTCATATTTCACAAAACTTAACCTCAGCAGAGGGAAATGTCTAGCCCAATGGTTCCAAGCTAACACTATCAAAACAACGGTATTCTAATGTAATTTAGCCACTGGCAAACACTGAAATCTGGATTTAATCTTTTCTAAAAGTTCAGCAGAACAGAAAAATTTTCATTTGGCTTAAGAGAGCACCCAGAGCAGTGTATGTGTGTGTGTGTGTGTATGAAAACATGTTGCGATTATTTACAAAGAAGCCATCTGTCTTTATTTCTCAAGGTTGTGGGGCATTTGCAGAGCATCACTGGCATTGCCTTTGAGAGCATTGCCGAGTTCTCTTACACAATCCTGACTCACAGCGTGGGAGCCAACACTCCAGTGCGACAGCAGCGTCCTCCTTCTCCCAACACATGAGGCAGACCGAGTCCACTCAACAGTCCCTCCCATGGTTTACTTACTCAGGGTACAAAAGTTCCAAGCATCTGTTGAAGTATATATTCTGTGGTCTACTTTCAAGCTTATTTTTCTGCATCAGTGAAAGTAAAGGTGGACAAACATGTCCTTTTCATTTTAGACTGAAAATGTCACAGAGCTGGGAGATAGAATATTAATGAAGTTGGTTCATTTTTGTTTATATGTATGGCTTTTCCTCTAACTGTTCATTTCATAAAGAGAGAACACTAGACTGACAAATGCTGTGTTACATATTTCTTTTAATAATATTAAGAGGGAATATTGGAGATTAACCAGGTGCTCAAAAATCCAAACCATCTGGGTAACCTTGGCTGAACCTCAAGAGGGGGTACCCTTTATATTCCTTTCCAGTTAGCTCCCCACCTCCATTCTGCTACTGCGATCTACACAGGGCTTCAAACAAGTTCAAAACGGTTAGGTAATTGCTGTCATAAACAAGGTACAGTTGTGTAACCACCAAAACTTTAGCTCATGATATTCTCATCAGAGTAGGAAACAGTTGTGTCCCATTCAAAGGTGGTGGCCTATCTAGTTGCTCTGTATGCATTGCTCTCCAAAAGCCCTGTCACAGTCCTTAAAGTTTCAGGAGCCTAATACAGGAGACTGGATTATCAGCAGGACACTGGATAGTAACACACAGTCAAAGCAGTTCATTTGGTTGCCATCTTTGAGCAGAGCACAGCTGTTTGTTTCTTACTAAGAAGCAACAGATTTGGTTGTTATGCAACACACACATTACAACGGCAATTACTAAGCTGTTTTGAACTTGTTTAAAGCCCTACATCTACACAAACAGGGCTTCCTCTTACACATTAATTTTCTTATAAATAACTAAAAAAACCAACACATCTCTAAACATGTTTCAAAACAATCAAATAGATGTACATGAACTCAATTCTCCCAATATGCAAAGTACTCTATTTTAAAGAAAAACAGAACAGTGTACCTCTGGGCAGTTATTAGACTGCAGCAAATCTTTTATTACAAATAAATCTCTTAATAATGCTCAAACAGTATCAACACCATTTCACATTTCTACCACAGAGCAGAGTAGGCATTCAGTACTAGAAAAGAATGAGAAGTGTTAATTTCAAGCTTCTGATCACATCACTTGGTGACTAGGCAAAGCTTGTATGTCATTTCCCCCATGTTATTCAGCTGCATGTTTCACACATCTCGCTCATTTCATCTCAGTGGAGACAAATCTATTTCATGTTGTAAATGCAGGAAGTTGAGAGAAAACCCAGTGAAAACACATCAATCTCAATTCAACTCTTAGTTTATAAAAAAAAAAAAAAAAAAAAAAAAAGAAGGAGAAAGCATCCAGGGAAAGCAACCCCAAGATAAAATTGCTTAGCAGGCCTAGAGTAAAGTCAGTGTTCATTCAAGTTCAATAAAAAACTCTCAGAGAATAGGATAATAAGGGGAAATTCCACAAAATAAAGAGTATGTGTGTGAAACTGCAAGAAACTAAGGGCATGGTTAAAAAACGACAACAACAAAAATACCAGAAAAGCACAAAGGAAAAATTAAGGTTAGTGATGAGTTACTGCAGTAAGGATAAAAAACTATATAAAACAATTAAGATTCAAAAATGAAGCAACCTTTGCAATTAAATCAAGAGGTCAATAAGCTTCAAAAAGAAGATGGAATATTCCAAACAATAAATAGAGTGAGGAAGAATTTAGACAATAATTGGAATATGGTAAGAAAGCACATTTCTTGTACCAGTTATTATTGGAGAGGTAATCAGAACTTTCCATTTGTCTGTCATTTTGCCTTACTGTGGTGGTTTGCATGTTGTTGTAAAGTTGGAAGCTATGCTACCAGTATTTTCAGTACCACCAGGATCATCCATGGTAGACAGGTTTCAGCTGAATTTCCAGACTAAGACAGACTAGGATGAAGGAGAGACAAACTACTTCTGAATATCAGAACCTTATGAATATCAGTGGAACACTGTTAGATAACACCAGAATATTTACACATGATAAAGAGCATCAGAATATTATCAGATACAGTGCCAAAGGAGCTCTGGTAGCGTAGTGGTTACGAATCGGGCTGCGAACCTTAAGGTTAGCGGTTCGAAACTACCAGCTGCTCCGCGGGAGAAAGATGAGGCTTTCTACTCCCGTAAAGATTT